TACGCTTTTCGGTCACATGTAATGAATACAAATTATCTAATGAATACAATCTTTCAGGAACTACGAATGATGCTGAAATTTCATTAAAAATATTCATTTCTTCATGAATAATTCAAGAGATTATTTTCCCTCTCCGCATCACTTTTGAAAGGCCTTGAAGCGTCGTAGGTAATTCAAAGTTGATACATAATACTGGATACTTTGACAGAATCTTTAAGGAACAGTGAAAAATGAACGCAAAACTTTCCAGAAAGCAATAACTTATCCAAGCAGGATTTTTAAGTTTCTTATGGTCCTCTGACTTATCCCAAAATGGTCGAAGAACCTTTAGAAGCATCATGACTCAAGCTAGAATGTTCCTCGAACTTACCAGATAGTGTTCGACTAACTTTAAATGACCCAGAACTTTTTCAAGAATCGTAATTCTAAGAGTAATATAAGAACTTCATCTATACAAAAGAATTAAAACATTTATATGTTTATATTATCCACAGATTACTTGAACAATAAATTAGATATGTCACTTACAAATTGTAAATTACCAGATTACATAACTAAGTGATAATCAACAACATTGTAGACGTTATAATTCAATCAAGTCATATATGAAAATATTTAAAATCGTGAAACGCAGTAACACGGTAGAATTCAATAATCGATTGAATAATCAGAAATAGAAGAATATCTGAATATATAATATAAGAATACAATATAATGTCGGTAATAATTAAATTATATTAATATTATACGTAGTGCTTAATATTTGATCGGTAACTCTGAATAAATGTTAGTAAATGTGAATAAGTACTACTGAACATTGATAAACATTGGTAGCAATTAATAAATATGAATGAAAGCTGATGAATATTACGCAGTATAGGTAGAAAGTAACAAACGTTAAGAAAAATCTATAGCCATAAACAAACATTTAAACAGATATTAATAAAAATTGATAAACACTAACAATAATCAACAGGCATTGTTAAAATTAGTAAACATCAATAAAAATTAACAAAATTACTAACAAATATCAATAAACATTACTGATCATCGAACAAATCAACAGATATCGATAAAAATTGATGAACATTAATGACAATCAACAGGCATTATTAAAAATTAGCAAACATCAATAAACATTATTGATCAACAAACAAATCAACAGATATAAATAAAACTTGATAAACATTAACAACAATCAACAGGCATTATTAAAAATTAGCAAACATCAATAAACATTCAAAAAATCACCACCAAATATCAGTGAACACTGATAAATACTATCAAATATCAATAAACACTACCGAATATCAAATATCAAATTTGTGTTTATCATTGTCGAGTATCGATAGAAAAGACAAGGTACAGAAAAGTAGTAAACGATAAGAAGCATCTCAAAGGCAGAATCACGAGGAGAATGGAACACCGAGATAAGGTGTAGGAGGGTATCAATGTTCGAAAATCACTTCTGACAAAAATACGGACCGCACAACGGTAGCATCGTTCGCCTATTCTCTCTACAGCTCCGTAAAATCTGATTCACCGAGGCTGAGATTCTGCAACATTTAAAGGGGGAGAAAAGAAAATGTGAGGCGACGCGAGCGAAGACCATCCAGAGTCGGAGAACTCCATTCAGCTGCTCCGTCCGGGAAACGAAGGGTAATAAAATTCTGAAATCTGTTACGTCTATTTCCTGTAGAAGACGAGCTTGCACCACGAACACAAATAATACCGTGATTCGATACTGTTTCGTACCAATAGCAGATACAGAGCATGGACATAAAATTGTCGACGGAACGTACTAAACTATTTTAAAATATTGACTCCATGTAACAACTTTGACACTTTTTGTACGTGGTTAACAGAAGAATGTTCTTCCTAGAGACGAATATTTGTTTTGAAACTATTATAATGTGTATGAAGGATAGTTTTATAATTATAATGAAATTAAAATATTAATATATAATACTATATTAACCCTTTGCACTTGAGAGGCGCCTTTCAGTCATCATTTGATTTGACCCATGGAAATAAGATTTAAAATTCAATATTAAATTTTTCTATAATGCATCAACACATGGAACATCGAAATAATATAGTTTTGTTACTTAATTTATGCAAGGTATTTCTTTATGTTAGTTGTAAAACGTATCACTGGCATTTTATCAGAAAATAATGAATATTTCTTGAGAAAAATATTCTCGAGTGCAAAGGGTTAATCTAATGAAGGAACAATTTTTAAACCTTCTCATTAGAAACTAAATGAAAAATATAATAATTGTTATATTATATTATTACTCTTATGTATAAGGTTATCGTGATATTTGACTACTGTTATATTTATCTTAAGTACAATTTAATTTTTGAATGGAACTATGGAGTCATTTACAATAAATATTATTATTACCAAGGTAATATTGCAAAATAGTTCCATTTTATCAACATTTCAATTCTTTTATTTATTCATTACATTATACTATCTTATTAGACTGAATTAATATCCATTACTATAATATAAATAAACATCGTACCCTTTTGTTTATTTATATTCAGGTATGTATTAAATATTATTTTGCTAAATTTATCTATCTGATATATTCACTTCTTTTATCATAATTCGTTAAATAAATACCAATCACTTATGAAAATAAGATAAATAAATAAAGTTTGTTTCAAACATACTTCGTTTCCTCAAATTGAAGAGCTAAATAAATGAGTGTCTGCTTGATTACGCCGGAGTAATCATCCTAATTTAAGGAATGTCCCACCAATGGGTATGTAATTAAGGTTATTTCGCTGTACTCTGCTCAAGAACTTTCAAAGAAACCCGGTCTGTACCAGGGCGACACGGAAGAGCAGCACTGATTAGATTTCTATTTCCTAATCAGTCGGGGAAACCCTGTCTGGTGTTCCTTTCAGTGTCGCTCCTTTCAACGGCTCATCCTCGGAGAGCCGTTCAAGGACATTTTATTAAACCCATCACAGCAATCGTGATCGCGGAACGCGAGGAAGTTCCATCGAAACATTTGGAAATGCAACAATGCACTGACAATCTTAAAATATCGAAAAACAAAAGCTTGGCAGGGAAATAAACAAAGTGTCAAAATTTATAAACACATCCTGATGAAGTTTAAATGGTATTTAAAAGAGGTTATAGAATACATATGAAACAATCGTAAAGTTTTAGTTAATATCATTATGAATCCTATAATAATCATCACCCAAAATTTTGAAAAATAAAAACTTGCAGACAAAATAAAAGTGATATTTCAACCTTTCAAAAATTTCCTAATGAAGTTCAAATTTAATCATACTACAAAATGAATATTAAACAATTGTAAATTTTATAGTATATATTAATATAAATACTATGATAATTAATATTCTGGTTATTATTATGAGTAACTTATTAAAGTTTAACCTTTCATTTTATCCGTAACAAATTATTACAGATATTATCGAATAAAAATTAATTTCCCGAAATTGGACTATTCAAAGAAATGATTACAAATATTGCCAAATAAAGTTTAACTTATCTAAATTCGAATAATACAACAATTCATCATTACAACAAATTAAAATAAATATTATCCAATCAAGTTCACTTCTCCAGATTTCAATACTCCAACGTTGATAAAAGAAAATAACGTTTCCTTGGAAAATATCTCTTGTATATTCAAGACTTTTTAAAATTCTCTCACCTTGGCGATATTCAAATTCTGATGAAATTCCCTTCAAGGGAGAAAGATTCATACGAATTTGAATATCTTAAATTATGCAGGTACCATTTTACTGAATTTTCTTAAGAATGGAGGGACGGATTTTCCTCGATCTTGCATCATCCCAGTGCAGTCGTTCGAATGGTGCAGGTGCAAAGCGAGCAATAAGAACGGCGGAATTAAGCGACCAGAACCACGATGGATAATGACGTGGCAGGTTAACAAGCACCTGTTCCATAGTTTCATTTCGACGTGCTTGATGATGCAATCGGGGAAACAAGAAATGCGTTGTTAACGTTCTGCAACGAACGAAACGTTGAATATTAAACTAAACATGAACATTTACGACACAAACTTCAAAAAGAAAGTATTTTCAAAAAGTATGAATATTCACGTGTCGAATTTAAATGAGGGATTTATCTGAATTGCTGGTTGTAACTCTAAATTGATAAATTCGGATGATATTGTAGAAGCTGTATGTATTAGTGATTGTAGATAGTAATTACAGTTATTATACTAGGAATGTATTAGCACAATTTCATTAACTATATGAGAGTTACTAAAATGACTTATACAATTGGCAATAGTTTATACATCTTTCAATATTAATGATTCTATACAGTGTTTTAATTTCTTTCGCAAAAATTAAAGGATTTGTAGTCTAGTAATTCAAGAAACCTATTAACGAAATTGGTGATAAAAACTCTACTACCAGTATCGATAATAAACAATCTCCTAACAAAATCAATGACAACCATTGATTCTAACAGAATCAATAATAGAAAAATGCTCCAACAAAATGGATAAGTAAAAATCAATGAACAATATAATTAATAAGAAATGCAGTATCACAATTGGTACTAAAAAAAATCTGCTAACGAAATGAAATACAAACAATCCACTAACAAAATGAGTAATAAGAACAGCATATACTGTCAGAATTGGTAACAACAAAACCAGTTTAATACATTGCGCGCCGGCCCCGCGATAATGCGGGATTTTTAGTCTACCGCTTAATGGCTAATCCTACGTTCATGTAACGTTGTAAATATGTATAAAACAATTCCAAAGTAAAATTCACAAAATTGAATTCCTTATTCTCTTCCGTAAGTTAGAAATCTAGGTTAGATCAAAGTATAAAAATGTATCAATATAACCATCGACGCTGGCGTTTTCAGTAGCTGAAATTTAGCCGCCATTCAATGTGTTAAGAAACTACAGCCAAAAGATCCAATAACAGAACAAGAAATCCAATAAACAAAAATGTTTTCTGATCCACAGGGAGAGGTTGGGAACAGGCCAGTAACAGGCTCAGTGAGGAGCACAAGAAGATGGGCCAGCCTACGACAACACGTGAGCAACACGGAGGCCGGGAAGCCCAAAGTCGAGTTGCTCCTTAATCCTCCAGGATCGAAGTCCTCGACACCGTCCTCGCAGCCGCACACGCCTAACACGCCGCGAACACCGCACACACCGCTCAAGAAGTCCAACTGGGAAGTGATCGAACACTTCACCGGTGCACCGAGGCCCTCCATTATCACGGTGAGTCACCGAATCGCTGGAAACAAACGATGAGGATGAAAGAATACCGTAAACGTCACGGACTGTCATGATCCCTTCGAAAAAAGGATTTTGTTTTGATGGGAGAACGCGGTCGTTGACAGGCCAGATGGATAACGGGGGAGTCCTATCTCTTGGGGTAGGGTTCTGGGAGATTCGATAACTTGGGGATGATGTTTAGACAGTGTCAATTCCTGGGAACAATGTGGTGGAACTCGCGCGAGTATTTGGGGAATTGTTGAATCAGGTTCGTTGTTGAATGTGGATCATTATTGAAGTGGATTGATCGGTTCGTTTGGAAATTATTGAATCTGTTTGATTATTCATTTTCAGTGATTTTTGGATTACGGTAATTGTTGAATTAGTTTGGTTGGTCGGATTGGGAAATTGGTGAATTTGATCGATTGATAAATTTAGAAGTGGAGCATTTGGTTTAATTGTTGAGTTTGGTTGGTTTCTGGGATTAATTGCTAAATCTGGATTCTTCTTAAATTAGATTCATTGTTGAATTTGCATAATGAATGAATTGAATAAACCTTAATCGTGGTCTCACCGACGTTACAGAGTATATGTTAAAATATCTGGGAAACTCATCACAAAAGAAAGCAAACTTTCATTGACGTTATGGAACATATTACAACAATCAGAAATATAATTTTAATAAATGATGCTTCAATGGAGGGGCATATTGATTCTTCCATTACATTTCAATCTCTCATATTATACAATGAACATGTTTTATAAAGGAAGAGAGAAATAACTTCGGATCGTATAACATATTTTTCCACTTAGCTATTCATTCTATTTTTAGCTTTAATATTGTAAAATAAAGTATATTGTATCTTTGAAACAGAAAATATTGAATATTTAATATTAAAAGCAATTTCGAGTTACTTTTAAATAACATTCATTTCGAAATAAATTTGGCACTTGCAATATTACAGACAATATTAAATATTAGAGAGTTATAAAATAATTTTCACTTTATAAGCAATATTACATGTACCTATAATTCCAGAAACTTATAATAAGATTATAGAATGAATTTGCAATAAAGCTATTGCCATAAATTTTAAACTTGAAAATTTAAACAAACGCTATACATTACTCAAATACAACAATCAGTCAACTTAAGGATAAATCAATTTTAATAGTCAATGTAATTTAATAATTTCCCACATTCAGTAATAAATGTAATTTTACAACAAAATGAATTTATGAATTAATGTAATTCAATGATTACTCGCGTTTAACGATTAAAGCTAATTAATTATTATCGACATATAAGAAATTATCCACATTCAAAACTGTATCTAACTTAACAATTACCCACGTGCAAAAATTAAACTAAACTTTCCCAGATTTAGCAACCAATCAAATTCAGTAATTATCGACCTTCAACAGTGAAACTAAAAAATCATCCCAATTCGACGATCAAACTATATAAATAATTCCTGGATTCACCAATCAATCCAATAATAATCGAGATTCAACAATGAATCCGAGTTTCCCCAAATACTCACAGAAGACCTACCCCACTGACTCCCATAATTCACAATGTCAAATCATCATCCCCAAGTTATACAATCTCCCAGAAACCTACCCTTAGATCTCTCTGTATCAAATCAATTAACGATCTCGGTGGTACAGAGATATCGAAAGGAAAATGGAGGGCATTAAGGGTGGAAGGGTCTGGTATCAGCAACACGAGAAAATGAATATTCCCATTTGCTCGGAGGACACGTAACACATCGCGCAAACCGCTGAAAGAGGAAACAGTGTTAAATGGACGAACCCTCAATCTGTCCACAGATGGGCAGGGGCTCGGAAGTTGGGGTTGGACTCACGAACGGAAGGGAAACAACGCAGGAAACCACCGTAAACACGTCGATAACACGACCGCCGAGGAAATGCGCGCTCTGTCGGTTTTTGAACTCGCTGTGCGCCTCGCATCGCTTCAAGAACTTGCAGGTAATTACTCGAAAAGCAATTCTAACATTCGAACAATTCCAACTAACTTTTAGCACCCATCCAATATTGATTATAAAAATACAATAGCGAACAACACGCGTATTATACTAGATTATAATTAAAACTGTTGCTGGAATTATTCAAACATGGAAAATTTTGGAGCATTCGTTCTATGATCTGTAATTGAGAATATTTGTTGTTTGTACCGATTTGTGTCCTGATCTCTGATTTGGATAAATATGAAATTTCTTTAAAATATTTACTTCTCTTGAGACCATTTTTTATATAATCTGCAAGTTATGAAAATGAAATAGTAAAATAAAGTTTATTTGAGGAAATACTTGGTTTTATCGAGAATAATCAGTTCAGGTATATTAATAAAAATATAACTTAGAGAATGTTTGAGAGAATATGATATAGAGATTCTATACACTCTAATAATTAATTTATTAATTAATTAAAGTATTACTTTCCCAATATAGTACATTCTTAACTAGAGTTGTGCACCTTGGTAATAAATGTCATTATATAATTTGTATATTGTTTACACTAAAATTAATCATTTCATCTATTGTACCATTTAATAACTCACCATGAACAATGTACTTCAAAAAAGTTAAATATAAAAATAATTTATTTAAACATCTACTTTTCACGTAATCTGCTAAATAAATACCTCACAATTATAACAATGGTATAATTGAATGAAGACTATTTTGAAACATATTTCGAATAAAAATATTTGATATAAAGTATCCTAACTGAAGGACACAGTAAATCTTAAACGTATAGATTACATTCTAAATAAAAATTTGAGGAAATGCCTCGATTCTAGTTTCTGTCTCCTATTTTTTGTAATGGTAATATGTGTCAATGTTTAATGGAAAAATAGTTTGGAATATCGGAAAGTTTATAAAATAAATTTTCATAACATTCTCATCCAAAATATATTAATTTAGAAGGATAATGGAAGTTATCATAAAGATAATTGAAGATACAATAGAAAATAATGAAATAATTGCTTCAACTTTGTCAAATATAAAAATTGGCAATACGCAAGATTATTACTGATTAATCTTAAAGAATCGCAAAGAATTTAACAAATTTCGAAGCCTCTAACAAACATTTTGTTCGACCACATCTGAACCAGACAATGAGAGCAGTTAACAATTGGTTAACTGAGTTTAGAACAGAACGTCTAATTACTTTAGCGAAGCTATCAAAATTGCTCTGAAGAAATATATGGTGAATGACGTCGACAGGCATTCTAACAGATGCGCCAGAAATATAACAGTTAGTTTCCACAGTTTGAATAAGGAGACACGAAACAGATACCAGATTCCGGTGAAACAAGCATTTAGAACTCTGGAAGGATTACGTTATCAGAAGGAACACCATTAATTAGGACACTGAGAATGTTCAATATTATTGGATCGATAATGTAACTTTGGTTTAGATACTTTAGTCCTATATAAATCATTTTGAAACTATAAATATATATAATATATAACATACAATAATAAATTTAATACACTGGGCACTATATTAACAGAACTTAAGCAGGAAATTTAGGATACTTGAAACTATTGTATCATGACGCTATTCATAAAATTATGGGAGTAATTAAAGCATTTATATCAGCACACATCGAGCTTTCACATAAACACATACCATCCCACAGATCAAAATAAATCATTCCTGTTGTTTTCTTTTTGAAATAAGCAAAAAGACAACAGATATTTCTGTGAGACATTATTGAAGAAATTGATTTACCAATTTAGAAAGTGGATTGTATACCAACTAATGTCTGAAGAGATGCAGTCTTGTAGTTTCCATATAGGAATTTGATCAGAATCAATAAAATGACATTAAAATTCTGAATAAAAAAAATTCGTACCAAAATAACTAATTTACTGGAAATTGGTGAACAAGTACTACAAGACCAGACATAACAAAATATTCGAAAGTCTTAGTCAGATGTCACTGCAGAAAAAATTAAACAGCAGCTATCAAAAATAAGGCATACTTCTCCCAACACTCTGTCAAGATCATCAAAATCATTAGAATTATATGAAAATGAAGAATAAAAAAGGATTCAGATAAATATAATTAATTGAATAATTAAAAGACCAAATATGTCAAACTGTTCCATAATCACAGTAATGTGTCATTGTAATAAATAAACCAAATTTCAACCATTAAATCAAGCACACTGCACTTAACATTGTATCAAGATCATCACAATCGCCAGAATCATAGCAAAATAATGAATAAAAAACAATTAATGTAAAAATAAGTAATTGAATAATTAAAAGACCAGATACCTGAAACTATTCCATAATCCTAGTAATGTGTCATTGTAGTACATAAATCAAATTGCAACCATCGAATCAAGCACACGGCTCTTAATACTGCGCAACCACGTTCGCCTAATCCGAACAGTACAGCCAGATTCCAAGGACGCTCGATCGTCGTCGAGGAGCTTCGATTCGACAGGTTGGCTTCCTAATCACTGGCTCAACCTTCGCAGTATCCGATAATCCGGAGTGCATTGATCTGACCGAAACTCTATTCTCCGCACGCAAAACTTGACGAAACTTGATATTCCCTTGTCTAACTAAGACGAAGATTATGCTATTATTAGATACAACACGATATTCGACGATAATATTAGCGCGATGTAGATGAACTTGATTTTGGAAAATTATTAGGTAAATATGTATAATATAATTTACTATGGAACATCATTTTCTTGCGTATTGGTTCTTCTTTAGTAATCAG